CCAGTAACGTGTTCGCAGACCAGAAAGCAAATCATATCCTGGGCTGCACCAAAAGAAGTGTGGCCAGCAGGTCAAGGGAGGTGATTCTCCCCCTCTACTCCACTCTCATGAGACCCACCCTGGAGTACTGGATGCAGCTCTGGGGCTCCCAACTTACAAAAGACTCAGACTTGATCAAGCAGATCAAGAGTAGGGACACAAAGATGCTCAGAGGGCTGGAGCACCTCTCATATGAAGACAGGCTGAGAGAGTTGGAGTTGTTCAGCCTGGAGAAAAGGTGGCTCTGAGAAGGCTCCAGGGAGACCTTATAGTGGCCTTCCAGTACCTAAATGGCACCTACAGGAAAGATGGGGAGGGTGTCTTTATTAAAGAGTGTAGTGATAGGCTGAGGGGTAATGGTTTTACACTGAAAGAGGGTAGATTTAGATATTCAGAATAAGTTCTTTACTGGGAAGGTGGTGAGACACTGGAACAGGTTGCCCAGGGAAGCTGTGGATGCCCCTTGTATGGAAGTGCCCATGGCCAGGCTGGATGAGGCTTTGAGGAACCTGGTCTAGTAGAAGGTGTCAATTCTTCAATTTTGTGGCCATCATGTTCTCCAATACTTTTATAATAAACATATAATTATCTACTCTTTTCAAGGTCTTCCTGGGATACATTCAAGAAAAAGCTTGTCTTTCCCAAAACATAATTTATCTTTTCCATCATGGTAATAAACAGAATTAACTAAGGAAGTGACAGAGCTTCTCAAATGGCAATTCATTAATTTGCAAAATTTTCTTCCATTTAGGAAGTACAGGTTTCCAATTATAGCATTCCAATATTTTAGCAACTCTTTTTTTTTTCCTGACTCATATCATACTATTAGTAGTAACTCTTTAAGAGAGAAAAGTTGAAAAGAAACATAAATATAGGAAATGGTAGAAGGTAAACTGAAAATTTATTACACTCAGATAATTCATGCTTCCTCTCCTATCATTACTATTGCCCATTGCCCACATAATGACTTAAGTAGGCACTGAATCTTCTATTTCATGTACAATTAAGGCCTCAGCAGACTAGGCAAAGCTGCATTTTGCAGTTTTAGAGGATTTGGTCTCAAATTTGAACGCTGCTTTCCATTTTATGGTCAATAAGACATATTACAAGCCTGCCCTCTCAAAACTTATGCAAGGCTGCTTTTAAAACCTATTTATTTTTTAGTAGAAGTAAGGGCAGATGATGTGAACATAGTAAACTCTTTGCTAATGTTCTCTCTAAGCCATTAGGATCTTAATTCTTTCAAGAGAAGAGTTCTGATGAATGATACAGTCATCTTACACTTTAGAAGGAAGTAATAAAGATGTATATTTAAAACCTCTCTGCACTGCTTTAGCTTACACTTGATTCATTGTCACATTTCACTTTAAGTAGTTTAGGTATCAAAGACTGAGAAATGTGGCCTGGATAGGTCTTCATTTATTTAGTAGGAAAGGATCATCCAACAGTCTAGTTTGAGCTGAAAGCCACTCCATGGTCAAGACATATTGCTAGTCAGGGCTAATTCTTTACTCAAAGCAGTGTTTGGTTGATAACATGCAGGTGCCTAAATATTAAACAAAAAGTACTAATCGCCCTCTGATCTGGACTGTTGCAAGAATAAAAGAACCAATTCTTCTCTTAAAATTAGTGATATTAAGTAAATAATAGCAACGAAAATACAAAATCACAGACATTTGGGACTTCCAGTTGGGTCGTATAAACATTCACTATACTTTGATTTTTTCATTATGGTACTTTTAATTGTTCCTCTGAAAAACCACATTTAAATGTTTAATTTACAGCTAACATGATTAAAAATGTCACAATTTCCAAGTATAAATTTGATTATTAAACTGAATATCGTAAAGTTTAATGGATAAACCATCTATCAGAATATTAAATCTGCTGAGATAGGCAAGTTCTTCTCCAGTGTATGACCTTAAAAAAAAAAAAAAAAAAAAAAAAAAAAATCACTTTATTGACCCCTGAGATACATTAATGGTGACAAGCCCCCAGGCAGACTTTATGCCACTGACCATAGTCCTTTGAGCCTGGCAGTTCTGTCCAATTTCAGTGCAAATCACCTTTCTCTTATCCAGCCTGTACTTCATCAGTTTGTTTATGATAGTGTTACAGGAGGCTGTTGAAAGCCTTTTCAAAGTTGAGATAAACAACATCCACTGCTCCCTACCTGTCCACTGAGCAAGTCATGTCATTGTGCAAGGCAAACAGGTTGGTCAAGTGTGATTTCCCCTTTGTAAATTCATGTTGACTACTCCCAAACAGTTTATTGTCTACCATGTGTTTTAAAATGGTTTCCAAGATTATTTACAACTCAAGAAACAAGATCACAGAATCATAGAGTCATTTAGGGTGGAAGATGAGGCTGACTAGCCTGTAGCCCCCCTGATCCTCCTTCCTCCACATGGAATGACTTTTGCCTTCTTCCAAACCTTTTCCAATCTTCCCCCAAACTATCCTGACCTTTCCAAGATTACTGAACAGGGCCTCATAATGATATTGGCCAGCCCTCTCAGCATTTGTTGGTGAATCCCATGAAGTCCCATGGACTTGTGTTTGTCCGAATTAAGTGCTCCCTGTTCTGATTCTTCTCCAACAAGGCTAAGTCCTTCTTGCTCCAGACTTCCACATTAATCTCAATGGCCTGGGATTGCTCAGTGCCAGTCTTACTAGTAAAGGTCAAGGTAAAGAAAGCATTGAGTACCTCAGTCTTCCCTGTGCTCTTTGTCATCAGATTCTCTGCCCCATTTAGAAGAAAGAAAAGCACAGTAGCAGACACTAATTCATTCTGAGGCAGTAAAACCAAAAAAGCAAGATGAAAGTGAAGGCTAAACCAGAGAACTCAAAGAAATATTGAGTCAGATGAGAACAGTGTTAAGACCACACACTTAATCACCTTTATAATGCAGAGCTATAAAACTCAGACTATGAATTTCAGAATTTGACAGAATTTTCTTATTTAAGTTATTGTATATTTAGCTATGCTCATTATGTAATTTTGTGAGAAAAATGGAAATAAAAGCAAAAAAAAAGGCACACACATATATATACAACAAGCTATTTCTGTGGGCCCTCTAGCAAACACAATATTGAACTCATGAAGCAAAATAGCTATAGACAACCACCAGAGGAATAAAAATGTTGATATATTTACTTACAGTGCAAGACACAGCGAAGACAGGAGCAAACCAACCAAGGAACCAGGTGACCAGTCCAATTGCAATTGCATAGCCATGACCGTAAAACAGTGCCATTACTACAGATATATTCCTCCCTCTGCTCCTGGCCATACTGGTGACCCACCATCACTGGGGGCTCTGCCCATGATCAACAGCTGGGGGCCCCTTCCAGTAACTGAAAATCCTACACAGTATATTCACTACATAGGTAAACATGCAATACAGGCCAAGCCAGCCTTTATGCTGTTAACTTGGAGGCAGGACACCTGACGTTAATGCTAAGGCAGGGGCACCTGGTAGTGATCTCCTAATCGCTTCCCACTCAAGGCTGGGCAGGCCCTGGGTGAAAACCAGTCAGGAGGGTCTTTCCTGCCTGGTTGTGAGCATCGTCTATATGTCAATCCTGATTCAGGGCTAGGGGTTTAAACCCCAGCACTTCAAACATCTCTGTGTTACTGAACAGACAGTGGGTTTGATGAATGTATCCATGCAGCATTTGTGGTTAACCACAACACTGGTCAGGTAGCTAGCCATTGTCTCACAAAGTTGTCACCTGCACACACAGGACTCAGGTAACACCCAGCAGACCAGAGTGCTTGTGACTTTAAGACATCTCCACTTAGGCAGGCATTAGACACAGATAACAAGGAAACAATACATTGCAAATACACCTACTTATTGTAGGGCATGTTACTTTAGCTAGGAAAGCTCCCTGAGTTCATCATAAGATCAGACCCAGGCTATACGTCGGCAGCTAGAAATCTATTTCTACTGGATGTAAGTGCCAAAGAGATTGACCTTCCAATTTTATCAGAATAATTATTCAACACATTTGAGAGTATCTAGTATAATTTGCTTCTGTAAGTAAAATGAGAAAAGCAAGGAGATATTCAAAGCATATGCAAGGTAGAGAATATGCCCAAATGACACTTGTGGAAGATGATATGGAAATAGATTATACATAATGCAGAGAGGTCAGAAATCACTCAAGGCAAAAATGACACTAGACGATTTTCTCCATATGTGGGTTATAAGCCATTCTGGAGTTCTTCCCTAATCATCTTCAGACTGCCCTTTCTTGGTATTAACAACTCATCCAAAATTAATGTTGAAAGATACAATAAAGTTAGGGTCAAGAAGCAAAAGTGAGAAAACATACAAGGAAATAGAAGCACTAACTACTACTGGTTGAGAAGTTTTATCATATTCAATTACCAGAACTGCCCAGGTCAGTCTCAAACAGAACAGGTCATTTTGTCTAACTTCACTCAAGGGATCATGAGGTGTGAAACTGACCTTGCAGGCAGGACAAAAATTATAATCTGGAACCTTGATAGCTATTTCCTTCCTCAATGGCATTAGAATAGTCAAAACAAAAAATTGTTCTAAAAATTCTGAAAAGCAGCTCTCAAACACACCACTATAAGCACAAATACTAACAACTGCATGTTATTCTAAACAGGAAAATTAAGAAAAAGTGATTATTGTTAGCACTTCCTTTCTGAGATCATTACTAGAAAGAAGTGAGAAGGCTCACCACACTTCACCCTTTAGACCTGGTTAGAAACTATAAGAACATACAGAAAACAGAAGATGTTTCATGAACAGTGCTTGTCAAGAGACACTGATCTTGGAACACAGAAATACAAGGGAATACATAGGGTTATCCCTCAAAAATACTTTCTGTGGCACGTTGTCATGATATTTCTATGAATAACAATTTTAAAAGTCTACAAGAGAGCTATTAGAAGGAAGAGTATAGTGAAAGAATTGTTTCACCTTTTTGACAATCTTTCCACACAGTTTTTCGATTCTTCTCATAATTCTCATTCAACCAGGTGAGGATGGTTCGTTCATAGGGAGAATATATGTTACTGGATAAAGGTTCTGATTTTATTCTTGGCATGTTCTGCGCTCTTTCTAAGCTGAATAGATCAGTGATACTACACGGAGAAAGATGTTGAAGAACAAAAACCTGAAATTAGAAAAAGTGTTTTTAAGCACAAACTGTAAAAAGAACAATTTCAAGTTGAATGATTAAAAGCACCACTTCAAACTCAAAAGGTTTTCTAATTCAGAAAATGTATAAGAGATTACACATTAGCATAAATGTATAACACACAGGAGAACAGATTTGCTGAGGCTTTTAGGGAATTCCTTTGCTTCCTTAAACAAAATGCAAATTGAAGCTTCCAAATGGCCTTGAGAGTTTGGAGAGGTCCCAGTTGACTTGAAGCTGGCAAATGTTGTCCTAGTTTTCAAGAAGGGAAAGAGAGGAGACCCTGGTAATTACAGGCCTGGCAGTCTCACTTTAGAGCCTAGTAATATTATGGAGGTTATCCTGAGAGTTCTAGAAAAACACTTCAGAGACAATGCAGTCATTTGTCATAGCCAGCAGAGTTTCACAAGGGTAAAGTCCTGCTTAACCAAATTAATTTCCTTTTATATGAAGGTCACCCATCTAGCTGACCAAGGGAAGCCAGTAGATTGTGTTTTTTGGATTCTAGCTTTTGATACTCTCTTGCAGTATCCTTCTGGAGAAAAAGTCCAGTATGCAGCTAGACAAGCCCATAATACGACGTGTGAATGATTGGCTGACATGTCTGTCTCAGAGTTATAGTAAGTGGGGTTACCTCACACTGGCAGCCAGTCACCTGGGGGTTGCCCACGGCTCAGTTTTAGAGCCAATGTTCTTTAGTGTTTGTATAAATGATCTGGACAAAGTAATCAAATGTACATTAAGTGGGTTTGCTGATGATACTAAATCAGCAGTAGCTCTGGACTCCCTCAAGGGTAGAGAGGCCTTACAGAGAGATCTGCACAGACTAGAGAGCTGGGCAGTTACCAGCTGAATGTAATTTAACAGGAGGAGTGACATATTCTGCACCTGGCCAGGATAATCCTCGTTATATATACAAACTGGGGGATGAGAGGCTGGAGAGCAGCCCCACGGAAAGAGATCTGGGGGTTTGGGTTGATGGCAAGTTGCATGAGTCAACAGTGTGCCCTGGTAGCCAAAAAGGCCAACTGTGTCCTGAAGCTCATCAAGCACAGCATCGCTAGCTGGCCAAGGGAGGTGACTGTCTCACTCTACACTGCCCTGGTGTGGCCCCACCTCGAGTACTCTGTGCAGTTTTCGGTGCCTCAGTTGAAGGACATCAAATTATTACTGTGCCCAGAGGAGGGTGACCAAGATGGTGAAAGGTCTTGAGGGCAAAACTTAGGAAGAGCAGCTGAAGTCACTTAGTTTGTTCAGCTTGGAGAAGAGAAGGCTGAGGGGCGACCTCACCTTAGTGACATAATTATTTGTCATTCTTTATTATGCTTTTTCAGTAACTAATAATATAACCTCCTCCTCAAAGAAGAATCAGCTAGAGTGGGTTGCCAGGATCATGTTCAGTTGGATTTCGGATACCTCCAGGGATGGAAACTCCACAACCCCTCCGTGCAATCTGTTCCAGTGTGTGGCCACCTTCACAGTAAAAAAGCTTCCGATGTTTAAATAGCATTTCCTGTATCTCAGTGTGTGCCTGCTGCCCGCCACCCTGTCACTGGGCACTACCGAGAGGAGTCTGACACTGTCTTCTTTACACCCTCGCATCGGGTATTTACACACATTGATAAGCTCCCCCTTGAACATTCTCTTCTCCTGGCTGAACAGTCTCAGAATTCCAAGTCTCTCCTTGTATGACAAATGCTCCAGTATTTTCAGTCATCTTTGGGATGTTTCACTGGAGTCACTCTTCAGTATGTCCATGTCTTTCTTGCACTGGTAAGCCCAGATAATATTTTATTTTTCATTTATTTTCCATACTTTGGGAATAAATAATTAAATATTTAATTTTAGGCATATAAACATTACTGATTATTGGTTAGCACATCAGATTTGCATTGGAAAACATTACTTAGATACACAATTTTTGTCTAATATCAGTAAACATAAAATTGAATAAAATTTGAAAAGTCTACACTGACAAGTTTATTACGTCTTAAAAGGAATATGTATTATAAATTAATATTAAGGTTTAAAAATTGCATTCTAATGTGAGATAATATATACCATGGTTATGTATACGTCTAGCCACCTACTATTTTCAGTGAGAAGTGTTTCTAACCAGGGTAACAAAAAGCATGGCAGATTTTTTTATTTGTAATAAGATTTCTGTAACATTTAATTTTATAAAATGCAGACAGTTCTAAAATATTATTTCCTAATAGAAACATTGTTGTGGTTTTTAAGCAGTTAAGCACCACAGGACAAACATACTAACATACTGCTAATGTTTCAGAACTAAGAAAAGGAAAATAGACTCACTCATTTTTCTTCTTCCCTGTTAGAAATATTATACTTAGAAGTATTTTGTTTTAAAGATCTGTTCAGAAAAAAAATCTCTAATATACCACAGACTCATGCCCAAAAAAATGGGTTTTGCCATCAGTTCTTCAGAATTTAAATAGCAAATGTATCTACAATTTACCTTATATATCTGCAGTAGTACATCTGTCCAAGCTCGTTTGCTGACTGTCTCAAACATACTGTCCTCCAGAATGAATAGATGCTTGTCACTAAATATGTCTGAGTTTTCCACATCTTCTCTTTCCAACTCAGCTGTGTGACCCTTAAGATAAAGGAACAGGATTTATTTTCAATATTCTTTTCAGCAGTTTGGGTGGAAAATTCAGAAAACGATAATGAACCAATAGCAGAAATTACTGGTAACACCTACTATAATGCAATAGTGATCAGCATTAGAACCATTAACAGTTTGGTGCTATGTCAGGACTAAGAAGCACAATGCAGAATTAACAGGAGTTGAAAGCAGCAACAGGACAGAATGGCAACACAAAGGATGGGTTTTTTTAAACAGTAAAATCAGTAGAAAGCAGTAAAATTAATTCTACTTTGAGGACACATCTCTTAGAAATTAATAACAGGTATCAGCGGGATTGGAAGGAATGAAAAAGAAAAAACAGGGATGGAGTGTGTAAATGTTTGTCATCTTAAATTCCTGTTCAATCTCATGCAAATGCTCAGAATTATGCAATCAACAACAGTCACTACAGTAGGAATACTCACTGTCCACAGAGAAATTCCATTAGTCTTCAAAGGACAGATATTAAGTATGTGGTCTTTGACACTAGCATGTAGATAGGACAAGAAGAAAAGGCCTCAAGTTGCACCACTAGAAGTCTAGATTGGATAGTAGGAAAAAATGTCTTCACTAAAACAATGAAACAAAACTAACAAACACAAAAATCCCAAAACCTACCTTCAGTACAGTTTGCTCTTTAATCCATTTCTTATAATCATCAGGTTCAAGCAGAAATTCTGGCAAAACGTGGGGAAGAGATGCTCCTTGGCTTCTGAAATTATAAAGCAGCAAAAGTAAATATGTAAGCAAGACAATTCCTATCAAGAGTAGTCCAAGTCTTTCAATGTCCTCAACCTACGTGTAAGCTCTTCGGAGTTCTGCTTGAGTACACTTTGGACTAATGCTCCAGTACTATTCTTTTAGATAGCTTCTATTTATGAAGCTCATGTTTAATTCCTATGGATACACCTAGATGCTAAAATCACATATAACTGTGGACAGACTGGCTTCTTTATGAGAATTGCTCTTCCATAAAGGATTTATTATTGCACAAGGCATCAAAACACACAATACCTATTTTCATGTGAAAGCCAAAGGACCAGTGTTTACATAATATTATTAGAATTAAAACATGATGATGCTTTTACCTGTCCACAGATTTGACACTGGAAGCCTTACAGGTGTAAGCAAAGGTATTTCCAAACTCTATTATTTAAACTGACCTGCCACCTCTCCTCAGGGGACTAATAACTGCAATAGGAAAAGTAACTGCAGTAACAAAAGGCAGCTTCATTAGACTGAACACCAAAAAAATATATTCCAAGTGTGGAAAGCTTAACACTGGACCTAAGGTATTGGCAACAAAAATCATTTTCCTTGGGTTGGAACCAAAGACTTTTGATGGTCTGACCTCAGAAAAATATCATTATGCTGATCAGATAAATAAGAAAATCTCTTGAATCTACTTAGACAACCATTCAGCATCAGAACATCTTATCATATCATGTTCAGTTTGGGGCTCCCAACTATAGGAATGACACTGAGGTGGTGGAGTATATCCAAAGAAGAGTAATGAAGCTGGTGAAGAGTCAAGAGTACAAGTTTTATGAGGAGCAGCTGAAGGAACGGAGGGGTTATGGGAATTGGAGTTGTTTAGCCAGGAGAAAAGGAGGCTCAGGGGAGACCTTCTCAGTCTCTACATGCACCTGAAAGAAGGCTGTAGTGAGGTGGAGGTATACAGGTAACAAGTGATAGGAAAAGAAGAAACAGCCTCAAGTTGCACTTGGGGATGTTTAGGTTGAGTATTATGAAAAATTTCTTCACAAAGACTTGTAAAGCATTGGAATAGGCTGTCCATTGAGTCCTGACTCCACCATCCCTGGAGGATTTTTAAAAGATGTATAAATACAGCACTTAGGGACACGGTTTAGTGGTGGACTTGACAATTCTAGATTCGCCATCGGACTCAATGATCTTATTTTCCAACCTAAATGATTCCATTATTCTGTATTACCACATACTCAATGTCTTGCTCTCTGAAAGGCTGCAACACACCTTCAGAAGAAGAGTCAGCAGGGTGGTATTACTGAGCATTTTCAGTTGATATTATGGAAAGACATTCTTCAGCAATCTACTGCCTAATGACTCTAGCCTTTAAGATATAATGAAATACCGATTCCTTCATTTATTATCAGAATAGATATTGAAGCTCTGAAAACAACAGGAACCTGTAAGCATTTCCCTTCACTACTAAAGAAACGCAAAGATATTTTTCTGCCACTGCTGCAATGGCTCCTCCAAATCATCTGCCACTATCTTATCATCTGTGATACACAAAAGAATGCTATTCTGCCTCTTGTAAAAAACAAATTACATTCATGAAAGTTGCAAATGAAGATCCAGTGTTGTTGGATAAGTGTGCATTGGTCTCATTATGAGTTCAGATAGAGCTACATCACTGCCCGTTATTCTCAGATTAAAAGCTTGTATTTATAACAGGTGAGCATGCTAATAAAAAAGCAGTTTCAGGACTTCTGATGATCTCTAAGGATCTCATGACATTAGACATTCTCTGAAGTTAATTTTCTTCTGTTTCACAGCAGCAACATCCATGAAGGATGAAGAATAATTTCTCAACTTTTTTTATTTGCACCTTCATTGACAGTTGTTTCATATTATGTAACAAGATAAGATTATCCATGAAGGTAGCTAATAGCTAAATCTGTTCAGCAACAGGAGTAGTGCTTCCACTCCTTAGCATATTATTAGTATCAAAGACTAAGAGATTACAAAGTCTACAGAATTTTTGCTAAAGCTAGTAATTACAGGACAAAGAAAATCAGTGGGAATGGTAGGATCACTAATGACAAGCCTGATCTGACTACATACTGACTCCATCTAAGGAATGAGGTTGAGCACCACCTTCCACAATGAAGAGAGCAGAGTACCTGTGGAATTTCTGTTTTGGCTGTAACCCTACCAAAGAACACCTCAATTACTGTAAACTGCAGAGGACACCTCAATTAGTGTAAACTGCAGTGGATAACCTTGGTAAAAGTTAAGAGTTTTAACACATAAATCTTATCTCATAAAATATACAGTATAAAGGAAAACCTAAACCTACCATATATCATTGACCTGGAATTATGTTTTACCTATGCTAATAAAAAGTGGAAAGAAAAGATGCATCAGGTACTTACTTAAGGAAAGTAAGCAATGCAGAGTGCTGCGAGTGGAGCTGTAGCATTCGTTCAACTGGATCAAGTGGCAAGGACTGGCTCGATGTAATGCCTGGTAACAACTGTCCACTCAGATGGAATAACATGTCATACAGTGTCTTAGTATCTTTGCCAAGGTTTTGCTTAAAAGCCTTTTCTTGTGAAGAGGTCATCTGGACTTTACACACATCACTAAGAGAGAAAAAAACTTCTGATAGTTTTCTTTTAAATGCATAAAATGAGCTAACACTGCATCTATCATGATGATAAATTTAAGAAACCATAAAACTATAACACTTTGTCCATCTTACAGAATCTTCATAATAATTACAAATTTTGAACTACGTGGAATATTTAATAAGTATATGTGAAGTAGGTCATAAATAATTTTGTGTTTGTCACTGCTTTCTGCCAAACACAACTTTGATTTTTATCCTGTTTATAGATGCCTACGTGTTTGTGTCCCAGGAGACTGCCTTCATTATTTAGTAGCTAGCTAGATGAGATCATCTAAGTGATGCCACTAAGCCAAATGTATTTCCAGGTTGTTAGCAAGACTGTTGATTATGAAATTTGCTTTCCTATCTGTTTCTTGATCTTTAGAATACATGATGGGGGAAAAAAAAAGAAACAATTGCTCATTCTGGGAGGAGAGTAATTTTCAGTTAAGGGGGTGACATGTATTTAACATACACAGCATGATGATACATCAGAGCATCATGGCTGGAAATGCACTTTAGAAAATTAAAAGCAACACCTGAATGACATTTTCATATAAACAGCACATAGACGCTACAATTTTAATATACAACATTAGAGTGTGTTTATATTCCCCAGATCATATCCAAAACACTTTACTATATATGTGAACATTTTATTAGGCAGACACAAGCTAGCTCTAAGCAGATGTGAATTACCGTCTTAGTGAATATGGTATTGAAAGGGGATTTTGTCCATTAGACCAACCAAAGAGAGTGAACCAATTCTTAACAGCAGTTAGGGTTTTCTGAAAGAAGATGTACTCCTCTTTATCTTCATCAGGAAAAAATGATGATTCAGATTTATTTTCTTTCCTGTAACTTTGACTGTCAGCTTCACTCTCTTCACTCATCTCTTCATCACTCTCACTTTCGAAAGTAGTATCTGATTCTGAATGATACACAAAAAAAAAAAAAAAAAAAAAAAAACTCCCTTATTTCCCTCTTTTTGTCTGGTACAAACACGGTATTTTTTTTTCTTGATACACAATTGTTTTCAGAAAGCAATAAACTGTCAGACAACAAATGATCGAAGTATTTCAGGAGTAAACAATTTAAGGGACATGTACATGCCTTGAGAACAGAGCAAATTATATTCTTGGAATCTAATTTCACCTAAAGAAAAAATTACCCAATCAGAAAAAATAAATTCAGGCATGGCTTACAAAACCACACGCAGCAATCTTAAAGAAACAATCTTACATACAGTTCAGTAGGTATAATTTTACCAGCTAGTCATTACAAGTTCCCCACCTCAATCACATAGCAAGGCTCAGTAACTGACTTGTATTTAAACAGTTTATCAGGTATAGGTGTAACTAAGCTTACATCCCAATCTATAACCTTTTGGACTTTTCTCCCCTCTGTTAGGACTTCTCTCCCCTAAATAGTGAGCTGGTCAAAAATTAGATTACATATTTTAACAACTACTAGTTATTTACAACATCAACAAGAACATTATTGCATAAAAGATAACTAAGAAAAACAGTCATTTTCTTCATAGCACAAATAACTTAGATGATCCCATCCTTAAAGATGTATTTTAATCCACTGTTGCAGTTTTAACTTTAAATGATGCAAAAAAAACCTAATACCTCAGACAGGTAATAAAAAAAACCAATAATTGTTACAATTTGAGAGGAAAAAACAATGCAATATGGATCTTGACATTTTTGGGAGTTTTTGGGGTTGTTTTTCGGTTTTGGTTGGTTGGTTGATTTTAATACTTTGACTGATTTCTCTTCCACTCGGCCTGCTCGAAGGAAGGAGAGGTTTTTTTCTGCTTTTATACTCTAGGGCAGGTTACCTGTAGTGTCACAGGAGAGGACAGACTTCCCAGTATCCATTCATTATATATGCAGAAGTATTTCAGGTAAAGTTTACAAACATGAAAAATATCTCTTGAAAGCAGTAAGTTGAAAAGTAGTTGCAAGAGCTCAAAGTGTTTTAAGTGAACAGCTGCACTATACCTGACTGAGAATCTTCAAAGGTTGAGTCAGTAGTTGCATCGAAGGAACTTGAGGAAGTACTAAAGGAAAGGGATTGCGAAGTATAATGTGGCTGAAGAACAACTTCCCCACTGCTGTGGTCTTTGCTATCTGTAAAACAAGATTACAAGCTGCAGTTGAGAAAACATATTTTATTGTCTGTGCTCTAACAGTTTATAAAGGAATATTTGCTTCTATATATTTCTGTTCCATGTTTCATTTAATCAGGTAACAGTTCTCATTTGACTCACTATGAAAATCTCACTTTTGTCACTAGACCAGGGACAAAAAATAATTATCCCTATTTTGTTTTCTATTAATTCTATGTTTTACAGGAGAAGTCTTCACACTTGCTGAAAAGTGCCTATCAGAACAGCACTAATTCAAGAATTCTAAGTCATTAACAAAACATTCTTGAGGAATTAGTGTTTACAGCTCTGTAATGAGTCAGCATACCATTATCAGGCTCTTTCAGACTCAACAACACAAATCAAACTCAAAAGTATGCTTTATCAATCCATCAGTTCTGCCAGAATGTTCTGACATTCTCATGTGGGCCTATGCTAGAATTAGAGGACCTTCTGCTAGCTCTCTCTGATAGCAGTCTCCAGTACAAGAGTAGAAGAGGAACCCAATGTAGCATCTAGAGAAGTTAGCCCATCAGTAAGAGAAGGAAGAACTCCATATGATTATATTCAGTTTTCAATTTCTGGCACTGTTATTCGTATGGTTTGAAGCAAATAGCACAAGAGCATAGTGTCGATACATGGAAGCAAAGCCTTCCTGAATAGCTTTCAAAGCCACTGTGTTGTGTAGAAATGGCCTGCTCACATTAAGCAGCATTCCACACCAAAATATTCCACACAATACCATGTAAAAAAGAATCGAGGAATTTAGTGATAATGACTTGCTTCAAACTTGATACAAACTGATAGTGCAAACAAACCAATAAGCAACCAATATAGAATGGAAATATCACACTATTAATGAGAGGTCAACTCTTATAAAATCATCACTTCATTTTTGGCTTAATCCTCAAGGGAAACCTACAAAGTATCTTCAAAAGACAAGATTTCAAAAATTACCTATTGGTCCCAAAAAAAAAAAATCAACCAAGCCATACACATTTACAAGTGATAACACTTTTCCCCCTTTCCTCTCTTCATTTATTTGTTCTATGATCCATTAATACGGTACTTATACCTATCTTCTATATATATAAAAAAAAAAAATAAAAATCACTACCTGCCTTCTTCCTAATCCCTTTTTCAATTTCACAAGCATAAACTCTCTTTTCTCTTAGACAGGCCAAGTAACACACCTATTTTAAGTTAATGTACTCTTAGAATTCACTCTTCAAAGCTAAATCTATTTCAGACCTAAGGAATAACCTGCTTGCCTGAAAAATTTGTCCATAAAAACCCCTATGTAATAACTTACCCCATACTTGAACCTGCTTTGAGGAGGAGGTTGGACTAGATGACCCCCCAGAGATACCTTCTGACCTGAATTATACAATGATTCTAATCTATTCCCATGAGCACAGCAACATGTAAAGACATTACAGATCACTGAGGCAGGCAGAAAGTGGGAGGGGATGGACAGGGAGAGGAGTCAGGCAGAGGTGGGGACAGGCAGAGATGTAGACACAGAGAAGCAGGCAGAGGGAGGCAGGCAGGGAGACACATTGCAGATAAAAATATTTCTAGTCTCTGGCTGCAGGCTTCTATTAGGTTTTAAAATATGTTTATGCTTTCCAGCCTTCAAGGACAGTAATTTGGGGAAAAAAAAAAAAAAAACAAAACACCAACAATTGAAAAATATTCCAATCAGGCAAATAATGATCACCTTTTATCATAACATCATGTGGCTTTACTCTTTTGCTTTCTGCAAACATATCCAACTGTTGTCCTGGGACTGATGATCACTCTCTATAAGTATAGCTTCAATTGTGTTTATTTATTCACTATTGTTTGGACTGTGTTCTCTACCCATAATTCAAAAACTTCACAGAGCATTCTGTAAGATTTAAGCTTGTCCAATACTTTTCAATAAACAGTACCTAATCAATTATATAAAAGTTTTCCTCATTTTCAACAAGAAAATAGAAGCTATTAAAGTCTTTTTAAAATTTAACTGCAGTATCCCATTGTAATTAATGAGGAATACTATCTTTAGGATAACATCCCTGTTATCACACTGAAAACATTGATAATACTATTGGACATAATATAATTTTAAAAGGTAGAAAGTTAATTGCTTACTGCTTCTCAAGATAATTTGTTGATCAGAGCGATGAAATGCCAAATATGGGTATAAAGTAAGAAGGCAATTCTCTGCTGTTGCAGCAACTTGAATCAAAAACCTGTTCAAAACAAAACACAAAAGTGATAGTTTTCTGTTTAGCCATGGTCATTAAGAGCACAGGAATAAGACAGAATGAACGCATTCAGACAATTTCTGTTCTGCTTCAACAGGAGAGTAGACAGATGGGACTGGACATGCTTAAATAGGGAAGTTTAGTATAGTATTTCCACTTCATATTTTTTTATGAGCATGTATGTATCATTAATCTGAAAGTTCAAGAATTAACAGAAATTTTATTAATATAGGAATTCCATCTCTGGGAAAAGAAAAAATAATTAAAATTACAGCTGACATTTGTGAGTGTCCTAAAGTAGAATGCTAACTTACTAAACATCCCCTGTCAAAAGTTACAGGATAAGTTTTCTTGAAAAGTAACTTCTGTTTTGCTTTCCTATTTATTCTATCAGAATTTACAGAAATCTCAACATAAATATTTAGAAATAAATAGATTCAATTTAAAAACAATAAGATATTGACTGCAGTTGCCAGAATATAATAGAAATCAATGTACATGCTTCAATGTTCACTAGAGTTTCTCTACTGTCCGTAGCAGCCACATTAATGTGTAGCAATCCACCTTTCAACCTTCTTTTATTTTGTACTTCCCCTCAATATCCCAGGATGCAATCAACAAGCATATTATTGCCATCCATGGATCTCTGTTAGCCCTCTGTACATATGTTCTTAGCTCATTGCAACTGACAGATCATTCAACTGAGCTTCATCCTACGTTACTACACAGATGGTTTTTACCCCACATTAAGTTATTAACTAACATCAACAATTTTGAGTAAGCTGTCAAAACTACAAAGAAAAATGTATTTTAATAATTCAAACAGCATGCTGATATCCATCTTACTTCAGTATATTGAGAATTACACCTATTGAAAAAGATACCTTGCACAAGACAAAAGAAAATATTTTCTGTTTCCATTAAATTACGTATTGAAGGATAAATTCCTATTTGGTGTAAATTTAGATTAATATTAGAAGATATCACAAGACCTTTCAGATTAATTTCTAATATGGCACAATTATCTTCTACTACCCTGTTATAAAATAACATAATCCAGGAAAACAGAAATGTTTTAAACGTACCAGAAAGTGGCTTTTCTTTTCTCTTTCATATTTGCCTCTCCAAACACAACATTCTTAAATACTGCTTTCAGGGGTACTTTATTAAATAGAGCGAGGCTCCAACAAAATCCACAGCCATCCTTCCTATTTGTAAATATTCACATTTGGATTCCAATTTCATAGCTAACGGTTACATAAATCAACGATCCAGCTCTGCAATGTTTTCAATTGTTCTTAGCACATGTCAATATTGGAACATGTCTGGGAGCACAGCAAGGGCCATGGCCAATTTCACCTTGCAGCAGAGTACTTCTTTTAGCTAACTTCATGCTTTCTGCTTTAATCCAGCAAAAATCTCTGCAGCAGGTTATCAGGAGGATAGATGGCTGAGAGTTATAGCTACATCTGTCTATATGTACAAAATGTACATTTATATACACCCAAACTAGGTGTCAGACCATATTTATTCTACCTTTACCAAGCCATTTAAAGACACACAGGATCAATAACAACTACAACACAAAAAAGTTTGCCAGCTTCCAAGCCATAAATTTACTGTGATAAACAACAATTCTCAATACTCTGCAGGCATACATTAGGTTAACTTCAGACAACAGAATTGTGTTCAGGGGTGGAAGAAAGCCCTATGCAGGTTAATGAAAGACAGCTCTCAAGTTACGTGAAAGTAGGACAGATGTCTGCATTAATAGACTCAGTCAATTTTCTGATTTCCTAGTTTGAGATGAGCACCTACGGCATATCTATATAATCTTGAGTTGAGATTTGGGCATATGTCAAATCTTCATTGATGGTCTCATTTGCACAGTTATGAAACACAGAAAAGTATGCGTGAGAATAAACACAGCACATCTTAAGTAGTTATCTAAACTCATTGTGTGATACTACTCAAAGCAAAGCTACTACTTCACAATCTAGAATATAAAGAACAGCCACCGCTACAGAACATGTGTACAAATGTACAGACTCACAGTGCGGCTGCAAGAGAAGCTCCTCCCTGTCCCATGCCACTAACAAACCAACAAGGGCATGCCTCCTTGGTTGCCGTGGTCTTGTAGTAAGAGAAATTAAAACTCCAAGCCAATAGCAAATGCAATGTAAATATATTCTTAACGAAGAAATTTAGAAGCTTCAGAGTGTTTGTAAGATGAAAAAATCAGTTCAAATTGGAATACAGGAAATTCTATCTAGTTATAAGAAAAAAAAAATACCATAAGAACCTCCCCAGAGATGGCTGTGGAGTGCCCATCTTTGGAGATATTAAAAAACCAAGTAGACAGCAGTGTTGATTCTGATTTGAGGAGGGGATTTAAAGAGGGGACTAGATCACGGGAAGCTCTTTCTAATCTATTCTGTGATAATAAATATCACCTCACTTACTGGCCACATGTCCACTCATCATCATCAAGTAATTTAATATGGTGTTTTACCGAAAGTGGGATTTGAAAGGACACTTCAAGAACAATATGTCAGCTAAAAAATCATATCTGGGTTTCAAAAGATGACACTCCATTCTTGAGGAAGCATGGCAAAAAAAAAAACCAAAGGTGCTAGGCACTAATTATTTATCGAACACATTTCAGGCACTGAGATACAGGGCTTGAGACAGAAAACCATGCATATTTCCATATGAATATGGCAGATTACAAAGACATGTACATTCTGCATGTGCTTAAAATCATCTTGTTCCATTGAACCTTATTTCTAACACCACTCATAATATGAGGTTACACAGCTAAAAGTCTTCTGCAATGTATTTATATTGTATTTGCAGCAGAGCTTAAGTAAATACTATAAAAGTCTGTGTTATACTATTAGAATGAAAGATACCTGTACTGCTCGCAAATGTTAAATTACTGAATGTGTTAAATTATTCAGTGTATTCAATTTTATAATGCTTAATAAAGCAAGCAAAAACTTCATCTACACGAACCATCATTGCCACTGCTATTTCAGAGTTTATTCTCTAATGCATATTTCCAAACCCTGGGAAAGGAAAAGATGACCCAGGCAAGCTCTGCCGTTTCTATGTGCACTGGGGAGCCCTTATCCTTTGTAGCAGGAGTTCAGGATTCGACAGCAATCAGAATACTACAATGATGAATAGTGACAGGCACATGGTTTCACACAACAGACAAGACTTATAGCTGGGAAAGTAGCCACATTTTTTTTCTAGCAGCAGCAGTGATGTCAGTTCTTAATTCCTGAATAACAGACTCTTCTTCAGCTGGCAGGGACCATCATAATGGTAGAAAGCCACAAGCACAGGAAAGAACAGGAGTGATTAATGGGTTTTGACCATCCTGGTTTTCAAAAGCACTATAAACTCTCTGAAGTAAAATGTTGATATGTTATGTCAGATGAATGCAGCAAAGAAGCATGCAAGTATCAAGAATTCAAATGCTTTCTAGCTCCTTGCTCTCTCTGAATTTAAACGACACCCAAGGGAATCGACAGCTCTTATTCCCTAAGGTGTGCCAGCAGAATACAGGCATTTGACATTTGCCAGCAGTGTCTGTTAAAGAGCTCCAGGGTTTAGGCACATTTCCCAGCAGCAAAAGGGAACAGACTGTTCGCCTCTGTGAGACACTGCGATCCCAGGGAATGTCAAAACAACTGGGATCCATTCATAGGCCGCTACCTTTTAGTGATTGTGTCTCAGTTGCATCATGTTGTTAATAGAGACTAAGTCCCCCAACATTCTCTCTTTCCTGAACTTCCAGCCATAAGCAATGTCAATAACATCAGAAATTGCATGAGTTTCCCCAGCTTCCCAGTGGGCGAGAGAAAGCAAATGGAGAACTGGAGAACATGGGAGGGAAGGACCGTAGCATATTTGTGTCATCAATTATAACATCAATTTATCTACACACCATCTACGACACAACAGGTTGGAAATGATGCTGCTCAGAGCATCATTTTTTTTTATTGTATGACTCAGCATGTACTTATTGTTTACCACTTATTTTTTTAGAAACAGTAAGTTAAATGTCATTTCAGTCAGGATGGAAGAAAACTTTCTTTCCTGCTAAATTATTTATCTAATCAGCATATTAAAAGATGTAATAGCAATTAGAGGACAAATATATAAACATGTCGTGTTCACAGAGACTTTTTTGGGCTTAATTTTTCAAGCTGGGAAGAAATATTTAGCTATGACAGTTATTTCCTTCATTTATTAAATACTTGCTCAAGACATTCTTGGATTTTATCTTATCTTTCATTTCTGTATTCCTATCAGCCCTACGCAAGGAAACGTCATTTATTCTGCTTTAGAGTCAAAGGAGCAAAAAAGGAAGGATAGAGATTAAAAATAACATTAAAAATTAACTGCAAATTCTCAATTAAGGCAGTCATTAAATAAATACTAATGCATTTTCTCTCATGATCCATTTAATGGAATCTGTGCACACAGTAAATTACTTGTGTAAATGACAACCATATACAGCTACATAAAGCATGATTTTGCTACAAAACATGATTGCCTATTGTCTTTCAAATGTTTTCTGTAAAGGAGACAAATTCAACAATATCTACCCTCTACCCAGTGTTCACTCTGACTTAAAGGTAAAAGAAAAACTTTATTATTTAGATTGACTTAATACAGACTATGCAAATCAAACCTACTGAAGTTTTAGACCTGAATTTAGAAAAGGAAAACACTGCAGAGCCTAAGTAAAAAATGACCAGAACAAAGTATTTGTCTCATCAACACTCATCCTCTGAAATATGCCTAGAATTAGTTTTGCTTAGAACTTAAGGCTCCTCTTCCAACTAGTTAAAATGAAGGACATGATATTTTGCCAACATATGAAAATAATTTTTTAACTTGCCTATTTTAATTCCATCCCAGAACACAGAAGGAGCTGAAGTACAACATTTCCTTTCAAACCATTTAAAAATACATATTATTACTTTTAAAATGGAAACATAAAGAGATAATATGACAAATTAACACATCCTCAGCAACTGATACTGTGAGATTTCATGGGCTATTAAACAAAACAGGAACCTATTCAAGACCATTTAGCTTTTATAGGTCTGATACAAGGTTATAGGTTTCACTGGTTTATTATTAAAGATCTAGAAGGCCCCAAAACCTTGTCTTCCAAAACGACTAAAATTAACAAAGCGGTTTAAATTCATGAGTCACACAGTTTGAAACAAACTGCTCAATTGTTTAGACAATTAGTTAAATCAGGCTTGAAGTCTGAATGCATTGCACAGGTCTACCATGGGTGGGGTTAGGGGGATAATAAGGGTAGATATGCAAAAAAAAAAAGGAATTGCAGCGACAAGTTACTTCAGAGTGGAATATCAAAGCACATCATAATATTAACCATAGTAACAAAACCCAAGTGTCGATAAATTATCCTAGACTTTATTAGAATAATAATGATAGGCTCAGGATTAGAGTATCACACACTTAGAATTCTCTCCTTCAATTGGAAAAGTCTTCCTGGTGATGATAAAACTACTGATGAGAAACTTCTCTCAAAAGCCAGCATGAATGAGACTACCGCAGTGACTAATGGCACATACAGAACCCCTTTGTTGTGGGTCATGTGCGATTTCATCCAGTTGTGCTGAGGTTTCAAATTATCTGCTCCTACAGGCCACACACACATGCAACCAACTGCCTGGCAGAAAATCACACACCCACTGGCAAACCAAGGTTATTAGCTCTGTCCTTTAACAAATACCTATCTACTATGTTTTAAAATACAGCAGCAATTTTAAGTCGTTTTGTCATTCCTGAGCATGATTTTTTTTCAGCTTTGCGAGCAGGGATACCTCTTAAGGTTACTTTGATTTTTATTTAGTATGTTTTTAAAAAACACATTGAGTTTGCCTTTAAATTGAGGATGGTATCCTTTATTTCATTTTAATGGCAAATACAGAAAAAAAGTATCTTACACAGCAGAAAGGATTATTTCTGTATAATAAGGTTTAAGAAGCTGCTACTGCATCATATAAAAACAGTTATTTACAATAAATATCGTGTCTGCTGAGCAGCTATATTTCAGACCTCATCATAAGTTTAAATTATGCTTTTCTCACAATTATTGCAAGCTTTAGCACACACTTATGAATCACATCCCACACAATGATTAAATCTTGGAATTAAATAAAATGAATAAGAAATAGAATCCTGGCAGACAATCTGTATTGAAGAATATGAAATACTAATCCAAAGCAAGCAGCTGTAATTGAAAGTTCCATAACCCTTACGTCAAAATAATATAAAATTTAATGTTATGCTTAAGAAAAAGCCCAGTTTGTAGTGGCTCTGCCCAAGCTGTAGAACAGATATATTTAACCTTGAAAATAGTTGCTTCACTGAAAAGAGTAACTATAGGAATGACTTTTAATCACAACAGAACCTATCTTTCCTCCTCATGCATACACCCATGCATCCCACCAAGGGAAGAGAGGAATGAAAGAGACAAATGCTGAAAACATTAATTTTTGAACAGCACATTTAATAACAGATTTGATGTCCATTTACTTGGGACTGAAGAGGCCTTCTGCATTGCTTTCCACCAGTAAAGTTACCTAAAACACAGCCTACTACTTTAAAATCAAAATAAGATATATGAATTTCATGCTTGCATATGTCTTTATCACTAAACACTGTTTTAAATAGATTAATTTTGGTAGGAGCACTGCATACAAATTGTTATCAAACTCTAGGTGTTCTGTCCTAAAGGACTTTACATTTAACAGGAATTAGGCAATGTAAATTCCGAGAGTATTTTTCAGATGCTTTTATTCCCAAATAATGTCAGTACTTCTGAAAACTTCAAATGCTTTCTGATGTAGTGCACAGGACTGCATTTGAGGAAATAAATAACTAAATAACAATGCAGAGTAAATCTTCTATCTGACACTGCCTGATTCTGCTGACGCTGCTGTCCAGAAAGCTCCTCCAAGGCAGTGCAGAAAACACTGAAGGGCCCAGCACAGCAGGAGGGAGAAGACATCAACAACTTTCCATACTTTGCTGTCCAGTCCTATATCTCAAATATCAGGAGTATAGGAGAAAAGACAGTATGCCACAGGCTTTTCATACAGGAAGTAAGGTTTGAGGCTGAAACTTATCGCTAGCATACTTTTATGAATTCCTAGCATCACACAAACAAACACACGACAAAAAAAAACAAAAAAAAAAAAAAAAAAAGCAAAACGCACACATATATATGCATGCCTTTATATATATTTTAGAATCTGTAAACAATATACTGCACTGATACAGCTGAGCAGCACCCATCCATGCAATCTTGTGTCACCCAGCTGTTGAAATTATTCTTTTTTATCTTATGACCCAAAGAACACCTTCTCTGAGAGCAGGAGTCAGCCTCCTTTTTTCTTCATGAGCCAATTGCTCAAAGATACTGCTCTGCCTCTTGTAAATTTAAAAAAAAAAAAAAAAATGATGAAAGCATTAATATACTAATCACTTAATAGTTCCCAGTTCCTGTCTCGGGACACACATATGCAGCTTGCCTTTTCAGAAAGAAAAAAAAAAAACAAACCAACCAACAAACCCAAAAGCAACACAAAAAAAAAACACTAGTAAAGAGACAAACATACCCAAAACAAAAGAAAACCAAACCAACCCACATTCTTCCACCTGAAGGAGTCCATACTGATCTTTGGTATGGACACCAGCCTCCAGATTCCTAAGTGAGTAACAATATTACAGATAGTGCAGGAAGACCTAGACATAAGAAAATGCCTCAGCTGAGAGAATACAAACTCATAATAGACCATTGTGCTCCAGAAATCTTAAAAATGGAGAACATAAAGCCAGAGAAGGAAAAAATAAGGAGTAAGAGAGAACAATAGAAGATTAAAGGTTAGATTTAAAAAAAAAAAAATCAAAAAAAAGGGGTAGGAAATAAAAAAAAAAAAAAAAAAAAAAAAAACACCTAAACCAGGCAGTAGTAGAATGCAGGGGAAAAAAGACAACATTGAGAGCAAAAGACTTAAGAATGACATACACTGAAAGAAGGGAAGAATGTCCCTTTAAAATAAGACTGAGGCACATTTTTTGCTGCTTCCTAGCAAAATGATATTCTGATTTCCAGTGTAATTCCCCCTTGAGAAGTCTCCCTATCTTTACTCTTAAGCTCAGAGGCTCAGGGAATGAATAAACCACATGTATAAATAATAAATCACATTTATAAACCTCAAACATTCTCAAAAAAAATTTAAAAAATAATTTTAAAAGGAAACAAGTACTCTTGCACAGTTCCACATTGTACAGATAGTTTTTAAACCAACCAGAATCGCTTACTTAGAGAAAGTACCTGCTAAGTTACTCAAGAGATGTCTTTTCTTTAACTCTTGGGTACCAGAATAAAACCTGAAGTTTTTGAGAGCAGTGAAAATGGGGTAATCCCTTGCTATATCTCTCCACTGCAACTTTATAAAGATTGGCAAATAGGTGATAAGAACCACAAGCTCTTCCAGACACCAGAAAAGAGACTCTAACCCAGTCACAGACATTTTATTATTTAAAAAAAAAGAAAAAAAATGTAGCATAGGAGAAAGACTCAAAGGAACAAAATTTCACAGTTCGGCTCAACCCAAAATTAAACCACCCTGGAATCCAGCATGGAGTGCGCTGTAAAATTTTAAATGGGATATTTTTCAAAAAGCAAACTATTTTGTAATACAAAAATTTGGGATTTGCTAAATGAAGACCATTTCTCTCCAAAGCAATCTGAGAAGACTGAAGCAGACATAAGAATTACTACTAGATACTAATGAGATACATGACCTTAAGGTGGCCAGTTATATGAATCTTACCTTGGAGACCAAAGCTGGATTTTGTATACTTGAATTGTAACTTAGTTGAAAAAAGAAATACATTTCTCTTTCAACTCCTTTTTTTTTCCTCAGAATGACTCTTGTATGCCTATACCCAACTATTATGATTTCTGTGTCTTATATTCAACTTTGTCATTTTGGACCCTGCCCCCAGATGAATTTGAATTGCACAGGTTACCTGTTTCCTTCTTCATCGATGAAGAACATATTCCCTAAAAGTGACACGGGCCTAGATGACCTGAAGCTGATATGACAAGTGAATTCCTTATTTGTGCCATCTGATGAAAGAACAATATTTTGACCTTCTGGAAACTGTACAGAAAAAGGGTAAATCCTGTCACCATCTTCAAGTTCAAGCTCTGGAAGTTCAACTTGAATTCGTGACTGCCTGTGTTAAAAATAAATAGTAATGGTGTTTGTTCTCACAGGACGGCAGTAATAAATTCGATTCACAGATTCACACATTTACAAAACTGCTTTTCACAGTTAAACACAGATGAATAACTTCAGGTTTTAAGTACAAATCAAGTGACACTAGCTCATTAAAATTCCTTTGTCATTTAGATGCTAGTTTATTTTCTGCATGTGTATCTGAACTCTTATACTGACCCACAACAGTGCAACATCTAAATGAAAAGCAACTTCTCTTCACCGCGCTACAAAAGGCTTAAATATTACTTCCTTACTTTAGGTTTCTTAAACCTAAACTTTTCATTACTATTGATTAAATTGCATTATTGTTCAAGTTAAAGCAAGTTTTAAAATAGTTATGTAATTTTAGGTTCCAGTTCTGAAACAAGATTGGCAGTCAGTCCAGGCCCATATGGAATCCTTTCAGTTCCAACCATTGAGTTACTGACAATAGACAAATCACGTGTTAAATTACTACAACTCAAACAAGGTAAGACAATAATAATATGAAGGTAAAGTTATTTTCATTAACTTGCAGCAACTTAAGAGAGTTTGCCACAGTTCTTCTGGTATTGAAATGATACCTACATAAGCATAACAAACTAATATTGCTGCTCTTTACTAACTAGGAACAGAAAAGTTGTATCTTAAGACACCAGGAAAGCATATTTCAACACACATGGACACAAGAGTGCTTGGCAAGCTTACAATATTAAGATGTGTATCAAAATGGAATAGGTGTGGTGCTGGGTTATGCTACATAATACAAAGTTTTAAAAAAGGCTCTCATAAATTTAAATAGCAAGATAAAGTGAGTGTTCCATAGCAGAATTAAAAGTCCAAGGATTATTTTTTATATTAAGTGACAGAATTAAAACGTGCTGTCCTCTTAGGTACTAAAATTTTGCTTAGGGAATTAAAAAACAGAAAACAAACCAGCAAACCAAACAAACAAGACAAAAACAAACAAACAAAAACAAACAAACACACACACCCCACAAAAAAAAAAAAAAAAAGAAACACCAGCTGTCCAAACAACAGCTATCATAATGCAAAAAAAGAAAAAAAAAAAAAGACCATAGGTTTAGCATCTGGCTAAAATTAACAATAAATTAATTTTTGTGCTATTCAAAGTAATTTCAAAAGCATCTGACAGGGTGAATTTATTAAGATGATAGTCACTTCATGAAGCAGGAACATTTTGAGCACAGAACATGGGCTTGTTGAATGTACAGCAAAGATAATTACATTAATTTTCTCTTAAGTAGATAGACTCTTTCCTGTGCTGAACAGAAAATTAATTCCATACATTCACAAACAAAAATTAACTCAATTTTAAGAAGATAATAAAAACCATGAAATATGCAGGATTTCTGTAATAAACTTTTAAATATATTTTTACCTTAAATAATCTTGTGGAATGATAATGATGGCTGATTCAGTTTCCATATCCAGAGGAACTGGCATCAACATTAAAAAAGGAGGATCAAAATTTATTTTTGGTGACTTTACAATGCCAGACAATTTTATTTTGTAACATGATGGATTACCATTTAGGTACAGTGACATTTCAGATGTGTATGTTCCAGGACAAGCTGTTAAAAAGGTTTTAAAAAAAAAAATACAAAGCACAAAATTATATAACCACAAATACATAGAACTGAAAGATTTATGGTAAGAGTCTTTTTAGCTTTTTTTTTAAAAGAAACAGCTTCTTACTCTTCTTACTTATATGTAGCTTAACATATAGTAAATTAAGAATTATTTAGGAATGCTTAGAACACTTGCCTGTAATAAACTAGAAATCCTTTTTTTTTTTTTAATTTGTTGGAATTTTTTTCTTACACGCTTGCAAGAAAAGGTGTTCAAGTTACTCCCATATACAAGCTTGACAGTCTACTGTCCTATCCCTGTGCTCTAACTAAACCACATTTCTGATATTCTATCTTCATACTTATGTATGACATATGGCAAAGGGAAGTGAAAAGCTATAATCAATAAATGGCATAGAGATGGAAGGCCATGAAGGAAGCAAGCTAGAGGAGCACATATCAGTATCAAAAGATATGCAATTTTAAAAGTACATATTAATATTCTTGTATTAACCATAGTTCCAAAGCTAAACCTTCAAAAGTTAGGAAAGAATAGTGTTAAGCTTTCCTCATACAAACTTTTCATCCATACTATACATAAGAATTCTAATAAATCCATTAACTACGTTATCACATCCATTTGCCACTGAATCCCTGAGTTGCTCAGAAGGCAGAACAGACAGTGCTTATTCTGCAGTGTTGATAATTCTTTGTGTGACTCCACATACTTAGTAACATCAAAATTCTGCATAATATATAAGCCAATAATTTAGTCCTTCTGTCAGAAACATCAGGATGTTGTGATACTGTCCTCATTTTAAACAGACACGAAGAGAAAAAAGGAAATTACTTCAGTAAGTTTTGTGTGTTAGTGTGTAATACCTAAGAATAATGTTTTCAGGATATTTGATCTTAAATAAATCACTTTGAAACTAATAAGAATTACATCCTCAGCTAACAGCCGAAGTCATGAGTTTATTCTATTAATCACATTTTTCACAACTACTGATAAAGTTTATGCTGCTGTTACCATTCTGACATATCACCACTAATTTCTATAGGCCAAACAACAAGCAGTCCAGCAGATGTGAAGGGTTTCCTTAAGGAGATTTGATTGTATTTACAAATGTGCCAATCTAAACTTGCCAAGGGCTAACAAAGCCTGTAGAATTTTATGGGAAATTTCCACTTTGTATTTTCTAAATATTTAGTATGGGAAATAAGCATTCAGTACCTTACCTTAGAAAAAAATCTGAATAAAGTGGCACAACTTCTGAAAGTGCATAGGTTCATATATTCATTAGCTGCTTCATTTTCAGTCTAATTTGCACTAGAAAGCCAATCCAGTTCAGAGTGCCTAACTCCATGGCACGCTATCCTGGGACTATACTTATGCACATTTCTTCTTAATAGAAACAAACAGATTATATTTCTGCAGAAAGCTCTTCTCCCAGTACTGCTCTTACACTTCTGGAGGAGAAATATTTCAAGTCCCCACACCTTCTACTCTACCTGTTTCAGCTGCAATTTAAACTAGCTTTTTCTACTAGATTAAACAGCAACGTCTTTAAGGATGTCCAGATTTACTGTTCCTCTCTAGCAGCACAAATCAAATTTTATTTTTTTTATTTTATTTTTTAACCCCCAGAAATCTTAACTGCATAATAGCATGTTTTCTGATCTTTTAAGAGTGTGTGGGAAGAACGGAAAATCAACATCTGCTTTTCTCACCCTCTTCACTTTGTATAAGATTGTTATTCAGTTCCTACATTTGTCTCCCAAATAAACATTGTTAGTTTAGTTGCCTTGGTCTTTCCAATAACTCATGCTTTATTGCATGTATACACCATCAGCATAAATGTGTGCCAGTGAAGAAACAGCATACATTCAAATACAGACTTCAAAGCAGAAAGCTCAGAGGTAGTTAAAGGTAATCCCTACAAAAATGAAGGAAAAAAAAGAAAATCAAAAGAAAACTAATCATTCCTCCACAGAAACTATTAAAGGGTGTAGTTATTTAGCTTCTTATTGTTACAGAAAATAGAACCGAGAAGATGAAGGTCATGATGGTCATTTGTGCCCATTATTTAATCATCATGTCTTCTAGAGTCACTGAACTGTTAACTCATGGGTGCATTTGTGAGTATTTTTCCACACAAGATCCCAGAGCACAAATTTACTGTAACTTACTACATTGCAGATAAGTTTTTTTCATATCACAATAAGTTATAGTAAAAATTTTCATATATTGTTAATGCATTATACTATAGTAGAGCAGAAGAGAATCATATTAATACACCTTTAGCTCTTGAGAACATTAAATGCCGTATACTTTTTTTTACAGATGGCATTATATTACCACACATTATATAAACTCTCATGTATAATTTAAAATTGTAGCTTATTAGAGCATTTTGCACTCACATTATTATAAATGTTGCAGCGTATTTAAACAGATTACTGTAATGTACACTCAAAGTTCACTTTAAGGTTTGTTTACCCCCAAATACTACAACTTCACAGTATAAACCTAGAGAGGTGATTAGCGCGGCATACTCATTAACTAGGTCTCCTGTGTGGGTTTTGATGTATCTAATGCTTTCTTACAAAAAAGAACAATTATATGCAGTAGAAGTATAGCACAAGTTGATTATAAACGATGGGAAAATACTTAGAACATGGAATTAAGGGCAATTGATTTTTACAGTTATTTATGATTTTCTGTAAATAAGAGATATTGGAACACAGCAAAAATACAAACAACTCCAAATTACAATTATCAGTCATATTTATGTATATATACATTTGCATTTACAAATACAATTTATTCAGTAATTCAAAACATAGGCTTTTTTTTTTTTTTGAATGCTGCTCTCTGCTTCACAGTCTGCAACATGCAAGAAATTTTAGTATGTTCTCATGACATTAAGACCTAAATGGAACAACCATCATGTGGATGATCATGCAGGCTATTATCACATGATCCCTCCCCAGCTGCTGTACAAAATAGTATTAGACTTTTTTTTTTTTAACTTCTTCAGTCTTAAATGCTAGAGCAGTACTTAGAATAATAAGACAAGGAGACCACATGTTCAGCTGGACCCCAAAAATCACCAGATATCTGGAAATACAGATTTATTCTATTTACCTACCAAGTCTAACTTTGCCCTGAGCAATTTTCTTTTCTATGCTATACACATAATCAATGCAAAAATGCAGCTATTATATCTCCTATTAGAGGAATATGTTTCCTAAATTCAAAGCAGACAAAAATGTTTATACGTGTTCTTCACAAGTGATTATGTTAATATGACCCTCAATTATTCTAACCTCAGGCACACTTTGCAAAAATATCTATTAGAATACCTAAATTACAACATTATTTTGTAGGCTTTATTATCTGAAGCATTGCAGAAAAAAAAAAAACTGATTGAAAGCAAAGTAGAAATTTATGAAAGGAGAAAAAAAATGGTTAAAAGTAATGGTGTTACAGTAAACTACATGTGTATTTTTTAATTGCATCTCAAGGAACAACAGAAGGCTATGAGCATTTGTTTTTCCACTTCCCAACCTTCTATATTTCTGTTCTTTTTTCATCTACATACTTATTCCAAAGGCCTGGCATCATAATATGGTTCTGTCCCTAGACTTTACCATATTTTTAGAAGCAACCCATTGTTGAGTTGCATCTCAACATTTTCTCAAAATTCAGAAATTTACCCAAAGCCTTTCTTCTGTCTAGACACACTTCCTAGACATGCTTTGAGTAGATCCTTACTTCATAAGTAAACTGATATATTCCAAGTCCATATTTCTAAACTGAACATCTGAAAAGAGATACCTTCAAGATTTTTCTCCTAGAGTGTCTGTTTTGTCAAATGATTTTGTCATCCTGCTCCCACTGTTTAACCTCCTTTGATTTTTTCTATTCTAACATTTTCTTACATCCTCGGACAATATTTTTCATCCAATTTACCTAGTATCCTTGGATTTTTTATTTCATATTGCTCCCAAACCAAATTCTTTAACAAAAATTTTCCTCTATTTTATTTTGACAACCTCCACAAGTTATGACTAAAAACTGATTGATGACCTGCATATATGAGATGAAGATGAGATCACACCATCTGGTTCCAAACTCAAGGATTACACAAAGTAGAAAATAGAACCTACCTGCTAAGAAATCTTTATTGCATTGAACACATTTTTATGGTCGTTTCATAAACGTGTGGTTCAGAGTGAAAAAACAGGGGGGTTCCTATTTGCTTTGGAGTAACATAGGCAAAAAAGGAGACAAAGACAGATACAAGCTCTAAACACTAGTGGAAGGCTGAGCAAAAATAAGTGGCATTTAACTTTCTTCTAGCAAATTTTTTCTAGCAGTTCAATTTGTAATAATACCTAATTTAACAGTGTAAATTAAATACAGATTTCTAAAAGGCCAGCTCAGAAGTGCAAGAACTACAACCACAGATAATGACTGGGTCAGAAAACTTCCAGATATTATATGCACAAAGAAATATTACTTCAGAAAAGTCAGAATTTGCTATTCAAAACAAAAATTATGAGGATTTAAAACAAATGGCCTTCTAAATAATTCTGAAAAAAACCATTATATATTCATTACTTTTCCACCTCATGAAGCAAAATCACAAGTTGATGTGATTTTTCCTCAACCACAAGTTGAAGAAAAAAGCTACCAACAAGGCATAAAATATGGAAAAATATTTTGAAGTACAGAAACCTCTGTATTATATATATACTGCTCTTGCACATTCGCAACACGTTTGCATAGCAACATTTGATACAGTCTCAATTCATCATACAGAATCATTGTGATACTCTTGTACCTATAATTATTTATTTTTTTTTATTATTTATAACTCCATCAAATTGTTCTCAGTGCTTAACTGAGACTATAGATTTCAATCCTGTCAAAAAGAATAGCAGCAACATCTTTCTTTAGGACAGGGATGCTCACTTGCTGACTCAGGATCAGATCCAATGACAAAACAACTTTTCTTCCCCTTGAGAATGCTGGGGCCACAAAACTAGGTCATTTAAAACTGTCAAAACAACGCAGTTCTGCAGTCATGAGCTGCATATGCTGGTGGGCTTTAGCATTATATTACTCTCTGCCCTAAACACTTGACTGGAAATAATCCTAATACTCATGTTCTGCCATTTCTCTTCTGGTGTATGTGGTTGATCACCATCTTCTTGTACGCTCCCGAGTTTTGTTAGAAATCTATTTGACTTTTTTTTGTTAGGGTTTGGTCGCCTGAGCAGACTAGTCAGAAAATATAATTTTGTATCTCACTGAGGCAGGAAATTTCCATTCTAATCTAAATTATAACTAAAAAAAAAAAAAAACCACACACATTGCAAGTACTCTTGGAAGGCTTTAGTGTCCAAGTCTGAAAACCCAAATGCATATGAAGGATCAGTACTGAAAATGATTCAGCTATCCCAGCCTTTGATGCTTTATATGTGCAAACCAGACTTTTCAAACAATGCGACCAAGTGATCCCATGCATTTTATTAGGTCTGTACCTGTCTTATTTTCTCAGAACCATAACAAACCTTTCTTCTGGCATTTCAGTTTGTCAACTGGAAGTTAATCAAAACAAGTGCTAGCTATGATTCATCACAAAAAGCCATTTAAACAAATCTATGAAAATGGCATATTGGCCAAACTATCTGTAGAAGAATTTAGAAAATTACTTACATGGGCAGAAAGATACACGAATACTGATTTTTTCTCCTGGATCAAGAAATCCAGTCTGCAGACTAAATTTAAAAATACCATCTTCCATACTTTTGCTTGCATCATCACAATTCAATGTCCATGTCAGCTGCTGCCTTGAGATATTCTTCAGGTCAAGGTTCTGTAAATATTTGCAGAAAAAGGAGGATATGATGAAAGACAGACAGCAGCAAACATCATGATACTTTTCATATTGCTCTATCATAGAATCATAGAATAATTTGGGTTGGAAGGGACCTTAAAGACCATCTAGTTCCAACCCCATAGCCACAGGAAGGGACACCTCCCACTAGACCAGGTTGCTCTAAGCCCCATCCAACCTGGTCTTGATGACCTTTAGTGATGGAGCACCTACAACCTACAACTTCCCTGGGAAACCTGTTCCAGTGTCTCACCATACTCATAGTGAAGATGCTCTTCCTTATCCCTAACCTAAATCTACCTTCTCCCAATTTGAAGCCATTACCCCTTGTCCTATCACTACAAACCCTTTTAAAAAGTCCTTCCCCAGTTTGCTTGCAGGTCCCCTTCAGATACTGGAAGGCCTCAATAAGGTCTCCCTGGAGCCTTCTCTTCTCCAGGCTGAACAAAACAACCCCAACTCTCTCAGCCTGCCCTCGTAGAAGAGGTGGGTCCAACCACATGATCCTCTTCATGGGCCTCCTCTGGACCTGCTCCAACAGGTCCATGTCCTTCCTATGCTGGGGGCTTCGGAGCTTGATGCAGTACTGCAGGTGAGGTCTCACAAGAGCAGAGAAGAGGGGCCATGCTTCTTCTGATGTAGCCCAGGATATGGTTGGCTTTGTGGCCTGCACTCACACATTGTTGGCTCATGTTGAGCTTGCTATCAACCAGAACCACCAAGTCTTTCTCCTCTGGACTATTCTCAATTCATACTTTGCCCAGCCTGTATTTGCCCCAACTGAGGTGCAGGACCTTGCACTTGGCCTTGTTGATCTTCACGAGGTAGGCATGTGCCCACCTCTCAAGCCTGCCAAGTTCCCTCTGGATTGCATCCCTTCCCTCCAATGTGTCAAATGCACCACACAGCTCGGTGTCATTCACAAACATTTTTAATTTCCACATAAAGTCTTTGGGAATTCAAAAAAATAAATTACATTATGGTGTGTTTTGCACTTTCTCTGTTCCAAAATAGAATGGCTGTGACCAAATATCCTGATGAAATGCTGGGGTTTGAACCCCAAGCCCTGAATTAAGGTTGACATATGGGTGATTCCCACAGCCCTTCATAAAGAGGTGGTGAGTTTGCCTTATAGCTTCCCCCCAGGCTGTGGCCGGGCCTGCCGGGAGAGCGCTCAACGGGGTCCCGCACTGAGTTGACAAAGGTCAGGTGTCTGCTTAGGGATAAAAGCTGGGACCACTTGCAGGGAGTCAGGGGCATCTGCTCTGTGGAGTGCACTTCACAGAGCTTCCTGGTTGAGGAATGACCTCCTGACCCTCCCTGGAAGTAGGTCCTGGTCAGGTTAGACCTTTGCAAATGTGGGCTAGGGGAGAGAGAAATATGTGGCCATCTTTATCTTATGTGATTAACTTGTTGACTTTGGTTCTTTATTTGTTGCATCTATTGTCGGTTGTGTGGTATCGTTGTTGGGGTCATTGGGGGTGATGTTGATTATGTGTGAGCTAATTGACTTATTTATACCCCCGGTGATCATCCATGTAGTGACCTTTCTATGTTCAAAACAGTTGAGTTACTGGTTTGTCTTCCTGCTGGCTGTGTCATTTTTGCTAGGCCTACTAATTGGCAAAACACTTGCTTAGTCCCTCTTTTGCATTAAGCCCTAAATCAAGACGAGGAGCTTTTGAGGAGATTCCAGCTGGCACAGATCAGTACCACACTAGATACTGGGACAGCAATTTAACTATATGGACCATCACGGCATATCAATTGCATTTCTGCACACCACTGTCTGGTTTACTAGTACAGGCAAAGGCAGAAAAGCTCTGGAAGCAAGCTATTTCTTACACAATTCATGGTCAGTTTCTCATGGTGCCCACATATACCAGACAGTGAGGACAAGCACAATTTTTATTATTCAAAAACCTTCTAGTGAACAGAAGACAAACATAAAATGAAAAACTGAACAAAATGACAATAAGAAAACTTACATATTCAAACCACATATTTGGAACATGACTGAATTTTGAGTTCCAGATCTGTATTCTTTTTCCCAGTCATTTTTGAATAATTAAAATCTATAGCCAAGAATAACTATAACAAAACTTGTGATTACATACCTGAGAATTCAGACTTTCATCAGCAATATTGAAATGGGTGCCATTGGAATGTTGTGCAAATTTAAGTTCCATTGAGGAGAACTCCAATGGTGATCTAAGTACTATTGGAAAAAATAATCTAGAGATGTTTATGCAGCATTACTTTGACAATTTCTTCAAAGTCCCTTCATGAAATCATTGCTTCTGCACATGTTTAACAGAAATTTTTCTCCCCTTGTTTTAAAGTTGTATTTTCTTTCCCACACTATATACATAATTACAGTAATTTAACTTTCTGTCTTATTATGACCTTTAGTCACATTAAAGTTATCTAAATTTTGTATCTACCAGGTTTATTATATCTCTCCTTCATAAAAAGATGCTATAAACAGAGAGCCGCATGATCTTCCTAATGTAAAGGAATACATTTATATTTGTGACAGTAATCATCAGGAAAGACTTGAAAGGTTTTATAAAAAAACAGCACCTCTCTTAAGTTTCTTTGTTCCAGCTATATGAAATTATCACAGAGGCTGATGTTTGAAATGAGGATTTAGAAAAAAAAAACAAGATACATGTTCCCACAGTGTCCTTAAAAACTAAGTTTGTTTCACACTTGGTGAGGAATTGTGTTGATCAATTCTCTTCTCCCTCTAAAAAGCCCAGAAGATTTCCTAATCGCATATCTCACATTATGTAAACAACAATACCGTTTCCCTAAAGCAAAGGCATAGAAACTCCATAAACCATCTAAAACGCATATTGTTCAAAAGTAGGACCCTAATCTGCTGGAATGCTTCCACCAATATGCAACTATGTCACTCACAAAGTCCTCGCCTCTCTTAGAAACTACCCACAGAAGGAAATTACAAAAAAGGGGAAGGAGGGAAAGGAGATTATCTACCCCACAAAAAAAAAATTGTGAGACTTAGGCTTCTTTGTGGGTTGGTAGGTTTTTTTTTTTTATAATAAAAGTCAGCTCACATGATGTCATTACATTGATAATATATCCTCTTCCTTTGTGTCTGGCTGACGAAGGGTTTGTGTCTTTTCCAATTGAGTTTTGCGGTTTGGTTTCAGGGGGATTTTTCCTCTTTCAGTGCTTTCTTACATACTGATAAGCATTCTCCAAGGGAAAAGCCTTACAAGTATTTAAGAGACCTGCTTTACTTCCCTTGTGCTGAACGAGTCTGCAAATTTTGTTTTTAAACACGCTCAAAAGATCCATGGTGGATTGAAAACATATTGACTACACTGAAGGTAAAAGACTGGGTTGACTACTCTTGAGATTATTGTGATTCTTTGTCAGGGTGAACACTCCCAAGTACAAACATTGGATATAAGCTATTGATTCAAGTGCCAACTGCACTGTCCTGTGCAGTCTGAATCCCAGTCAATCACAGAACTGTAACAGGGCAAACGAGGAAAAAAAATTATGAGTGGAAAACAAATGTGTCCTAAAGCACAAAGTACTGAGAATTTGACATATTTGTCTTACCCACTTTTAGTTTTGAAAGCAACAATCTGAAGGGATGAATCAATAACAGACAATTTTCAAGTGTTCAGAATGTAATAAAATTATCAGGTTCTTTTTTAACAACAAAAATAATCTGTCTAGTTGTCTGTATCTGTATGATTATGTGAAATACTCAGTGATTTATTTAGACTTTTCTCCCTCCTCCCAGCCCATCAAAATTCCCAGTAAGAATGCAGTTCCAATACTCAATTGAAATAGAAGCCACACTATTTTTTCAACTACCTCTAACAACTGAAATTATTACATATTCACTTTAGCACTGTAATTATTTGATGCTGGCTTATACTGGTATTTTCAAGAAATTCTATGTGGCAGAAGTACAAATTTCTGCTAAGATTTAAATAAGATTGACATTTATTAGTGAGACTTATTGACTGTATCATAATTCCTTATTCCATTATTCATAATAAGGAAACAGGAAATAAATATTTTCTTTTTTTCTTCAGGTTACATAAATCACTTCTGCACTAAAAGTCTGCCACCTTGACTCATTATGCCATCAAAAACATGCTTTCTAATAATCTCCCATACACATGCATTCCTCTTTATTCTACGCATTCTTAAACTTTCACTCCCTGTTGTCCTCAACTAAATATATTTAGAAATCTTTAATATTAATTTACTTCCACCACAGGATCTTAAGAAGGTCTCTTGGATTTTTTTCACTCTAAAAAGATCTCAAAAGGAAGACTTAAATTAAAGCCCTACAGTGGAAAAAAAAGAAAATAAGAAAACAAACACAGATAAAAACTAACAAATTAGAGTTGCTTTTACCCCCACATTGTGCACTTAATTTGCCAAGCCTCCTTCAGTGCTCTGAAGATGTTTTAATACTACACAAACATAATTCCATGAAGACACTCAGCACTTAAATGGTGACTAGATATTAAAAACTGAGATGAGGAAATCTAGTGGATTCAAGTACTTGCAATATGTAGGTCTATATGACTATAAAGATCAGACAGGAAATTAATGAAAACCACAAATTATTTCTAAGGAAAGCAGAGACAAACCCTGCAAGATACCAATTTCTTACTGCAGGCAAAAGGCCTATAAAATTGCCATTAACAAACTCTGACAGGCCAGAAGAGTACACTTCTCCACATAAAAACAAAGAGAAGCAAATGGGCTAAATTTCCACCAGTTCTCTCAGATAGGATCAGGTCCAATTAGAGGCATTTTAAAGAAGTTTGATATACAGGTAGAGCTCCTAGTTTTGACAGGGTAAGACTAAAAAATGAATATAAATGGCACATTACTTTTCTGCTCTTTTGAGATGAGCAGCTGTAAGTACTGGGGTCTGCACAATAAGATCTACAACCATTAATGAATGAGTAGAAACAAAAATAAGTTATGGTGAACTATTTTTTACATAAAGCAAGTGGCTATCTAAAAAATTAAATCAGATTTTTCTTAGCATGTTATAATTATGTATAGGAAGTTCAGCTTTACACATATTTAAAAATACAGATCAAAGCACAAAAAGTTGCCAATTGTCCAAGAAATTTCAAAATTATACAAATATCCATCAAATGTCAGTTAAGGAGCAATTCTCTGTGATTAGAATACATGCAAAAACATCTCTACAAATTTAAGTCTCCATCAGCTGCTTAAGTCCTTAGTTTACCTACCAACTGCTTTAACTCTAACAGATGGAAGAGCCACAGCCACCGCAGGTGGCCGAGGAGCAACAACATCCTTTACAGATCCAACAGAAGCTGCAGGTCCAAGGCTTGGCCAAGTCGATGGCAAGTCACCCCGAGGAGCATTAACGGAAAGAGTGAAGTCATACACTGCCACCTGCAGGACAAAAACATCAGAGTGGTCAGTTTCCCAAAGACATTTTAGATACTTCTTCAATTATCTGAGCAGTATTACTATATCAGAGGATTGCTTGAAATTAATTACAGCCCTAATCATGATCTTAGTAGGACGGCAGTTTATTAGCACCCAGTACCAGCCCTTTAAGTAAACACTGGCCAGCCATTCTTCTCCCCCCACCATGAAAAAAACTGTATGCAAAAAGTATCAGTTATCAGCACAGATACAAACAAGGCTTCTGGTAGGTAAACCACTGTGTTGTGCTTCTCTCCAATCACTCTCTTGAGAGAAAAAAGATTGGAGCAGTGGCCTAAATGCATAAGCACAAGCAAAGGCGAAGAGAACAAAGCTACATAAATTAATAAAGCCTTTCTCAAACAATGAAAAGATCAGCTGTTATGATATACCCAGCATAAACAAAATGGGTTCTAAGATCAAGGTGGAGCATGACTTAAAATCAAGACAATTCAGAAAAGAAAAAAAAAAAATCATAAAGACTTTGTCATTGAACACCACTGAATTCCAGGAGTCTAAATTCCAGTGATCTTGATTCTACTTTTCTATCTGCAATCACATCCCCAAAGAAGTGGAGGTCTTAAAAGACTGCACATTTTATACAATATCCTCTTTTTCTTTTCAACAGACTGTGCTCTTGAGAATCCAAATTCATTTCACAGTGCACTTTCAAGGAGAGATTTCTTGCCTCTCACTCTCTTTCCAAGGATCATACTAGAGCAGTATGTTCTCCAGACAAAAAGGTATGGATAACCATAACAAAGGTAATGGAAGAAAAAAACAAAACTTCTGCACTGAAACCCCTGTTAGAGTCCTTCAAATTCTGTTTTCACCTTGAAGGCCACTGAAGTCTCCAGAAAGAACTGTGGCGTATAAAATCTGCATGCTGCTTAGAATTAGCAGTAAAACCAGCTTACAAAGAACGTATGAATCATTTAAAAGATTTTTCAAAACTACAGAAAATAGTGCATCATGCTTCACTTTCACATATGTGGCAGTGAGTAGAATATGTAAATGGCAGGAAAGGAAAAAAAAAAATAAATTTTGAGCTAAGCTGAGACAGAATCAACCCACAGCTTAGACAATGATAAGCAAGCATGCAGCAGTTGGAGTGTCTGGAGTTCCAGCAGAGCTTGTAACACACAGTTACAAACTCCTGGTGAGTGAGATGTGTGCTGAACCTTTGCGGAATGTTTTGTGTATTTGTGCTTAGCAAGAGGAAAGCAAGGGAAGAGGGGAAATTTTTCTAGCAAGATCACCACAGGCCCTTGAATTACGCTGGCATTTCGGATCTGATAATGATTGGATTTTATAACATAGAATTGCCATTTAAGATTTTTTTAATAATTAATGCTGAAGGTGTGTCATAAACACTGAGTAAAAATCTGCTGATCTGATTTACATAACCTTCTATTTTTAGCACCTCAAGTCACTCACATAAAATACTTCATCACTAAACATCTTCAAAATATGCTCTTGTGGCATAAACCCCACATAATTCAAAATAAGACTATAAAGACTTGTTCTTTATAGTGTGAGAAGTTCCCTTCACTTCAAAGTATGTGTGAAATACACGACTTCCTGTCTCTAGCAGTGGCTCCTTCCAGTTTTAGAGAAACAACTGACTGTCTTTTCTTATAGCAGAAAGCAATGAGCATTGTGCTTCAAGGCTGTGAAATCCATTTAAAAAAAAAAAAAAAAAGATCTTTTAAAACTTTTCTCAAAAACATGTTAGAGATAGCCTAGAGCTAAGTACATGGTTATTGAGTAATCCTGATAGTTGTTCAGATACATACGTAAGAAAGAACTGTAAAGAACCAATACCAGAGAGAGGGGGAAAGAAATACACATGACTCTCTAGATCAAGCACCTTGTACCAAGTCACAACACAGACAATCTGAAGATTCTGTCACACTTTCAGCTGTACAAGAAGTGTGCTATACTGGGTATAGTGTACCCAGCATACATTTTCAGAAGTGTAATATGCAAAATAGTATATAAGTAAGCAACATATCTCCCAAGCACTACAGGTCACTGCAAGGAGAACAAAGTGGAGCTGACTGCGCATCTCGGTGCACATCTCCGCTTCTGAGACTGCTCCCAGCCTTGGCAGCTCCCCACAGGCAGCAGGCACATCCCTATATGGGTAATTCTTAATGCTTGAAACACCATTATCGAGAATTGCAGTAAAAAAAGTGAGCTAGAAAATCCTCTCCATCCCTAGTATGTATGACATACAGAACAATATAATGACACTAAGTTTTTAAAGTTCGGTAACATCAAAATGCTTATTCTAGAACAGATATGATTACAACATTGGCTATGCAAAAAAGTACTGTCTAGTACTGCAACTGTTCTTCATCAGTGTGGTTATGTTTAGTGTGTTTAGGTTGGACAACAAAAGGTGGAATCCCTTTATCCCTCTCCCAAGGCAGCTATTCAAAATTTGGTTTTCATTCCCACTATCATGAAAATTTGGTTTAGTCTTACCATAAAATAAGGAGTTTATTTGCTAAGAACTGGCAAACAAAATCAAATACATGCAAGACACTCAATTACTTCACTACATGTAGGACATGATGGTCACTGAAAACTTATACTTGCTTTGAAATACAATGGTGCAAATTCAGAGCAAACAGAACTCATAGAAATGTATTTCTGTAATTGAGAACAAATCATAGGCCATTTGTTTCATTCGTAGGTATCTGCCTCATTAACTGCACATTAACCTGTGCTACAAATTAAACATTCTTTAAAAATTCTGCATACCTAGAAATAATTCATAGACACGTTACTGAAAAAGAACTTGAAATTTCTTTTTATTAGGACTTCACTCAGCAAGTAGAATCATTGTTTATCTTTTTATACATATTTGAAGGAAAAATTCATTTTTAATGTCTAAAATTCCATAGTAGAAAATTCTCTCTTGTAAGATTACATACTTGAAGAAATTAATGACTATTTTTTTAAAAAAATCCTCATACTAATACTGAACTTGTAGTTGTTTTTTAAATAATCAGTGAATACTTTACAGTTATTTATCTATCAAAATATTTTTCTGATGCTGCATTTAACTTCATAAACCAGAGAACAGAGGAAGGGGCAGGAAGCAAGAAGCCTAGAGAAGGCTCTTTCACAAACATTCAAGGTTGTTTATACCATTATAAGAAATATTTTTCCTGTCCTGATTTATACTAATTATGCACGTTAATTGAAAAGGATGCATCATCTGCAAAGTGGTAGTCTTAGCAATTAAAATACTTCAAAAGCAGCTTTAAAAAGGCAAGTCACGTGAAACAAAGGAGCTTTTTGTTGCGCATTTACATAGAACACCTTTCAAGTATGCCAGAAAAGGATATGATTGTGCAGGCTGCCACCAGAAGATAACAGTTCTTTAAACAAAACTGATAATCCTGCAAATTGTTATTTAGGGGGCATTTTAAAATGCATTCCATTTTTTTTAGCTAGAATTGATAAACAAATAAAAGTTGCTAATTTTAAGAAATCAGTCTGATCAAGAAAGCTCTGCTACCAAAACTCATTTGAACCTATGAAATGTATTTGACACAGAGTGCACAGTAGCTCTAAGCTCTACACTGGAGAGGGAACAGAGCTGAATGGGTTCCTCCCTCAGGCCTAAATACTCAATACACTGAGAGAAACAAAAAGGGGAACAACTACTTCATCAACTGTGACAATTAAAACGTTATTTTATATACAATTCATGCATAAAAAGTGAGCAAACTCAAGTTGTCAGATTGAGTGGAGGAATTTGAAAGTAGAAAAAAAAAAGTTATTTTCAAAAAAGGACTTTCAAAGCAGTTACTTCATTCCTATTTTTTACTAGGTACCCCAATACAATAATATATTTTAGTAACCACAGAATATGTTTTACTAATTATTATTGTAACACAGCACATATTTTCAAGTTTGAGTCAAAACTTTGCTGTGAAATGCAGGAATTATATAATTTATTCAGGAAAAGAAAAATGATATCTCCCTAAAATTACAGTACAAGTAAATTAGTAATTTATTACATTAAGTTAAAACATCTGTAAAGGATTATACTCTTGTATTTATCATGCAACAACATGCAGGCTGTTCAAATATCTCAAAGTTTTAAAAGTAACAGAATTTTTGTGTAAAGGCTGATTTTAAAGTTTATAGCACTAACAATATACAGATTCTGCAGAGATACAAGGAGAGAAAATGTACATTAGAAAAAAATAAGTTTGATACAAATTTAAACCTAACGGCCAAACCAATGGTTTATGGTATATTGTATACAGTTGCAGTATACAATATATATTCTCAACTCACCCTCGGATTTAACATGAGCTTTTCCTTAAAACATACTTAAATCTTTCATGCAGCCTAAATTCCCCAGCTTTACACCACAGATAAGCAGCTTTCCACAATGAATAATGTAACTGGTGTTCAAAGCCATCATTCAAAGCACTGAAATAAACTAAATCTTTCCCTTGTATACAGCCAAGAGATGATGCACCAGCAATATCCACAGCTGCAGATTTTCCATAGAATTCATTTCTTATACCATGAATTCTGTTCTTTCATTTTAAAAAAAAAATTACATCACTAAAAATGCCAAAAAAAAAACCCAAACCCCAAACCACCTGTCACTTCTCAAGGAAAAGCTTAAGCAATAAGCTCTGAAAGGTGTGACTTGCTCTATTTATCTCAGTCAAAGGCCCTCATAGGCTTCATTATTTCACAGCTTTGTATTTTGCCTTTTTTCCAAGATGCTGGAATATGTTATTTTCAGCAGAGTAAAAAGAAGGAAAAAAAAAAAATTCATTTTGAAGCAGTACTCTCTTGCACCTTGCTTTGCCTGCTTTTCTTACCACACTGTGCAGGACACATCTGCTAGCAGGGGGATCATCCTGCCTGGAGAAACACAGTTAACAGTGGAGGAAGGAATATAAGCAAATATTTAAAGTGACCAC